CAGGGCGAGGTGGCAAGCTCCCTGGGGTGCCCAAGGCCCCGGCCAGGAGGACAGCGAGGGCGTCGGCGAGCTGGGGCGGAAAAGGGCGGCGGGCGAGCAGTGCCAAGCCGTTTGCACACGCATGTGTAAGGAGTGGCCCTCGGCCGTTCGGGCATCCTCAGCTCGGGGCAGCCTTTCCTCCTCTCCTCGTCCAGCCCCCGCTTGCAAGCCAGCTGGCCACCCCCCTGCAAGGTAGGCCAGCGCGGCCACCCTCCGCCTAGCGAAAGAGACAGCGGCTTGGAGCAGAAGGCAGGCGGGCATCCGGAGGGGAGAGATCCCGGACAGACGCAAGACGCGCATGGGACGTCCACGGTCTGCCAACCGGCGCCATCCGCGCAGCCTGCCCCGCCGCGGCTTCCGGCGCGCCGGTCGCCGCGAGGGCTGCATTTGCATCAGTCGCGAAGGAAATCGGAAAACCGCATTTTGGCTTGAGGGGAGGAGGGCACGAACTCGGCGTGAAGCTGGGGTGGTGCCACCGGGTCCCGACCACACCGCTGACACGGAGCACGCCGAGCCTTCTGACGTCCTCCCTCCCCGAAGGCTTCGGGAGAGGCAAACTTTGCAAAAACTTGGCTCATCCCCGGAATCTTTTCCGAAGGACGAATCCAGGGTTGCTCAACCTCAGCCACATGAAGATGGGTGGACTTCAATTCCCAGAATTCCCTAGCCAGCCTGGCTGGCTGGGGAATTCTGGGAGTTGAACTCCACCTCTCTGAAAGTCGCCAAGGTTGAGAAAAGTGCCACAATCCCCGAAGTGTCCCTTTCTGCCCTTCTCCCCGCCTGGTTTCTGCAGATAAAATGATTCAAGAGATGCTGAATCATCTCATTGATTAGCGCTGCCTCCGACGGTTGTTCTGCACCCCGAACCAGCAGGCTCTGAACCCCCAGAGCATGCTTCTGCCCCCAGATTGTGTTGTATTTTTATTTGCAAGCACCCGGTGCCTCTGGAAGGGAAGCAGCCCGGGGACAGGGCCAGCCGTCATCCGAAGGGCCCGCGACGCCCCGACGGCCCCAAATGCCTGGGGAGAGTCTGCATGGCCACGCGTGACTTTGAACCTGGCCAGCCTGTGCAAGTTCAGTTTTACTGCTGTATTCCAGAAGAGGAGGAGGAAGAAGAGGAGGAGGAAGAGAAGAAGAGATCGAGATCCAGCCCGTAGAAGTTCAGTGTTATTGCTGTACTCCAGAAGAGGAGGAGGAAGAAGAGGAGGAGGAAGAGAAGAAGGAAGAAGAAATCAAGATCCAGCCTGTAGAAGTTCAGTTTTATTGCTGTATTCCAGAGGAAGAGGAGGAAGTGGAAGAGGAGGAAGAAAACAAGATCCAGCCCGTAGTTCAGTTTTATTGCTGTATTCCGGGAGAAGAAGAATCAAGATCCAGCCCATAGAAGTTCAGTTTTATTGCTGTATTCCGGGAGAAGAAGAATCAAGATCCAGCCCATAGAAGTTCAGTTTTATTGCTGTATTCCAGAACAAGAGGAGGAGGAGACAGAAGAAGAAATCAAGATCCAGCCCGTAGAAGTTCAGTTTTATTCCTGTATTCCAGAAGAAGAGGAGGAGGAGGAGGAGAAGAATCAAGATCCAGCCCATAGAAGTTCAGTGTTATTGCTGTATTCCAGGAGAAGGAGAAGGAGAATCAAGATCCAGGGCAGGGCTGAACGGCCGAGCGCCAGCACGGCTTTCGCAGAGGCCCTGTGCAAATTCAGCCGGTTTGTTTTGCCTTCCGCCACCGCCTGATCTTGGTGGCCAGCCCAGGGCAGAGGGCAAGGCTGTTTCCTGAACAGTCCGTGTCCGGCCGTGGGTGGGCAGAGGGGGAGTCCCCTTGTTCCTTCCTCCGGGGAGGGCGAGCAAACCCACCCACCTGGGGAAGGAAAAAGGGGGGGACGGAGAGGAGGAAGGAGCGGGAAGGAGCCTCGGCTCCCAGCTTTACCACCGGATGCTCCACTGCCTTCCCAGACCACGGGGAGGGGCGGGAGGGGAAAGCAGGAAATCACACCCCCAAGAGAGCCCGTCCCAGCCCCACTTCTTTGGGAGTCAAGGAAGAAGAGTTGCCCCAAGGCTCATGTGCCAAGAAGTCCTCCCTTGCATTTCTCCCTGAGAACCCAGCCTAGAATCTAAGGGGCCCTCCCGAGATGTTGGGGCCTCAGTTCCCCTAATTCCCAGCACCGCCAGCGCAACCGGAACATGGGTCCTCAGGGAGGAGAGGAAGCGTGAGCATCAGCTCGCCTTGAGTTTGTAACCGAGGAAGACGACTGTGCCCATTTTACAGGCGAGAAGGCTGAGGCCAGGACAGCCGGCCGCTTGTGCCCCCAGATTCCCAGTTTCCTTTTTCTTTTTTCCCCCCGAATTTTAGCTCTGAGTAAATCTTTGACCGTGGGCTAGCTCGATCCGGATGAAAGGAAATGATCGTTCTGCAACTGTTGGGGAACATAGACACCTACCCACCCACTCCTCGCTTTACGACCACTGCTCGATGAATACGCTCGTTGGAAAATGGAGCGAAAAGTGCTCGCCGACAAATTGGTCACATAGCTAAAACCATCAGTATTTCAGCTGCTCAGCCCGACCCCAGCCCCTAAACGCGTCCCTTCTGAAGATCCAGACCCGTGTTTTTCAAACGGGGCAACTTGCAGATGGGTGGACTAACTCCCAGAATTCCCCAGCCAGCCCACTTTTCAGCAAATACCGCTGTTTGGAGACCCGTTACGTTTTATGCACTCGACTTGGGGAGCAAATCTATTTCCAGCTAACCGCTCTGGAAACCTCCAAATCCTTGGCTGTAGGATGCTAGTCCCTATGAAATCCAGCCATCTTTTTAACCTATCCTTGTGCAGAGCAACACGGTCCGATCTTGGCCACGTTGCAAGGCGAGGAGGGTCACTAAGCAGCAAACAGAGAGACTCACTGAGCAGCAAAAATATTTGCAGTTTCCTAGCGGGCGGGATAATTATACAGCAATGGAGTTATATCCGGCTGAATTTCTGGGCGTTCTCTACTTCTGTTTCCTCCTTCACAAAGGTCCCTTTTCACAGCCCCGCGGCTGGCAGTAATCCAGCAGGTGAAGCTTCCTGGCCCGCGTGAGCCGCGAGGCGTAACATCTTAGCCGGGTGACCTGCCTGATCTGCAGCCCCTCTCAAAATGCTGAGGACGACAGGAAAAATCGAGACGCCAACCAGGTGAAAGCTCCGTAAAGACCCGTCTCCTGCCTCTTCTGTTGGTCCCGTGCTAAGCCGCGGCTTGTTTAAACCGGCTTTAGGAAGTAAACCACAATCAGCTGCATTCTCGTCCGTGCAAAGCCATAAAAGCAAGTGGGAGGCCAGAATAGGAAACAAAAGAGACTCTGCTCTAACACCATCCTTATCTTAGAGCAGGGCTTCTGAACCTCAGCAATTTTAAGATGGGTGGACTTCAACTCCCAGAATTCTGGGAGTTGAGGTCCACCCGTGCTGGCTGGGGAATTCTGGGAGTTGAGGTCCACCCATGCTGGCTGGGGAATTCTGGGACTTGAGGTCCACCTGTGCTGGCTGGGGAATTCTGGGAGTTGAAATCCACCCACGCTGGCTGGGGAATTCTGGGAGTTGGAGTCCACCCATCTTAATGCCGCTGAGGTTGGGAACCCCTTTCCCTCCTTTGCGAAACAGGGTTCCTCCCGTGCCCGAATCTGCATAACCCTTGCGAGGGCAGAGAAGGGAGGGCAGAAAAGCACCGTAGCCCAGCACCAAGGCAGCCGGCCCGCCACCATGCCCGGCCTGCCCTTACCGTGTACTCCATCACGGGCAGGGTGAGCACCAGAGATCTGTTCTTCGCGGGAGCCAAACCTGCAGTTTGGTGACAAAGAAGGAATTAGGGACGTGGGGCGGCTGCTGCAAAGGGGCTGGAGTTATGGGGAGAGAGAGATGCGAGGGTCCCCTTCAGCTGTGCTTGTGCCCCCTTTCCTTCACAGCAGGCCTTGCACACTCAGCTCACGCCCAGCCCTGAACCAAGCCCAATCCAAAGACTCCCCCACCTTCGATCACGCTCCAGCCGTATAAAAAGGACAATTTTATTCTCCGTGCAGATTGCGGGAAACTCCAGAAAATCCCTTTAGAGAAGTGTGACCCCTTCCCCTGCATCAGCCTTGCCCGCTTGGGTCCCCTCCAGGCAGGTGAGCCCCCAAGTCCCATCCTCCCCAGCCAGCTGGGTCAAGAGGAACTCCCAACACGTCTTATCCGAAGGAGACCGACTTGACCCCCCTCCCCGGGTTGGAAAGTTCGATCCCCAAAATTTTGGGAAGATTTTATAGTCCCTACAAATCGACTGGATCCCCCTCAAATGTTGGATCCCCCCAAAAATGGAACGGCTTTACAGCTCCCAACTGGGAGTTCTGGCTGTCAAATAGATTATTGTTCCAGCTTCCCTTCCTAAGGTGGAAAAGATTTCTTCCTGCAGGTTTAGAGACCCTTCCCTCAGCCTCTCTCTCTAGAAGGGGCCTGGGTACAATTGGGGCACGCAGTTAAAGGTGGCACCCAGGACCCTTTCAGAGCAGCCTGGCTGGGGGGGTGCAAAAGACTGAACTGACCAGGGTTAGAGGTCTCAGGGCCAGAGTGGTGAAGGGGGCTGAACCCAAGCCTAATCCAGCCCACCCCAGACCCTGCTCTGATGCCATTCCTGGAAGCGTGGCACGGGTCCCTGCCAGAGGCATCTTTACCAGAGACCCACCGGTGGTGAAGGAGCCAAATGGGGCCTGTTCTCTGGGAGAGAATTGTGGACCCTGCATGTTCCAAGGCAGTCTATCTTCAAAGACCAGCCGAGCAAAGCAGGAGCAGTTTGGAAGCTTGCAAAAAGCCTCTGAGACTAGGGGCTTTTTGGGGGGGGGCGTGCTGGGGCACTTTGATCTAAAAGGGAATTTCACGGCCACTTCCACCACCACCACCCCGAAGCTGATCTGCAGGCGATGGACTGTTGCTATCCTGGATTCAAGGTTAAGCAGATGGGAGCAGGCAAAGGAGGACGGTAAAGGTAGGCTTTCGGGGGCTGGAATCCCCCCCTCAAAAAAAACCCCAGAGGACACGACTCTACTTGGAAACCACGATTTGGCAGCCTCCGAAAAATTGTGCTCAACAGTTGTGGCTTTTCTTCCCTCTGCAGACCACCCCGTTCCAGACAGGACGCATTTCCAGGGTGGTAAAAAGTGGGAGTGTCCCATTTCGGGGGTGCTCTTGCTAACCAGCCAAAGGGGGCCGAGGCCAGCCCTCTTCTGCTCAGGGCACCGCTCGGCCTCCCCCTCCAAACCTGAACCAAATAACCACGGCTCAAATGCGCTGGAAGTTTGCTTCCGGGACGGAGGCGCAGAGCAAAAAGCCCCCCAAAGGGAAGGTTTAAGCCCTGCCAAGCGGGCTCTGCTTTGGAAGCATCTTCCGCAGAACCTCCAAGGGCAGGCTCACTCTATCAGACAACGGCCTGGGGTTCCGAAAGGGCCGGAATGATGGATGGATCTGCTCCCACGATGGAAACGAGGAGGAAGGGGGAAAAGTTGACTGTCTTCCAGGCGCGTCTCATCCCCGTGGCCTCAGAGTTGAGACCGAGAACCTGCACGTTGGGGTGGGGATGCTGGAGGAGACCCCCTCCTTTTAGCCAAAAAGACTACCACGGACCCTTCACTCCCGAGCGCGCCTGCCGAGGAACAAAACTGCATCTTCTTCCTAGGGTTGCCGGCCAGCGGAAAGAGACGTGGCACTTTTTCCCATGACCAAATTACGCCTCCGCGGGAATCAGGCTCAGCCGTGGGGGACCTCTCCTCGGCCGAGGAGTCTGAGAAACTGGGGGGCCTGTCCTGCTGCTCTCCAGCCCAGCAACAAAGAAAGGGGAGTCACTTGGGGGGAATGCCCGCCACCCTCGCCAAAACCAGAGAAACCGAAACACGCACGTGCCAGATCCGAGCGGGGCAGGAGAGAAACCGACAGAGACCTTACCCCTTCCCGAATCGCTCCTCCTCTTCCAAGGAGAGAAAGAAGTTTAAAAAACGGACCTGTAAAATAGGACCAGCGCTGCTGCTGCTCACCCCCCCCCCCCCCCGCCCCCTTTCTGTCGGCCACTCCAGTTTTAAAAGCTGTGAAATTTGAGAATTGAACCTTCCTCCTCAGGGCAGGGCTGAAGAAAACCCCATCCAGTTCCCAGGCTGCCTGATGTCCTCCTGCCCTGGGTGATCCGATGGGGAAAGGGCTGATGTGGGGCGCTGGGTTTTTGTTTTTTGGCTCCTGCTTAAGGGGCACCCGGACAGCAAGACATGTGACGGCAGGACCCATTCTTGCACGGAACGTTTTTGAGAAAAATCTCCCCTCCTGAAGCTTTGGAGGCCCGTTGCTGGCTAGTGGGGGCAGCATCCAGCGAGGTGACCCAAGGATGCGCCAGCTAAGCCACAAAACCCGGCTTACGAGCGGCAAGGCTGGCCTTGCACAACGCCGAGCCCAAACCAAATTGCGGTGAAGCACAACACGCAACGATTGTGCAGCCCACCAGCCGGTCCTGTTGGAGAGGGGCGTTAATCTGTTCGGACAGAGATTAAGGGAGAGAAATCATTCAGGGGCCGCGATTTTGGCTCCTCCAATTCTGGAACTTGTCCAAGAGCCTAACCAGGATGAGCACTTTCCGTTCTTCCAAGGGAAGCCTCGATACTCACTCTCGGGGTACAGAAACCCCACCCGAGTGGATCGTTTGGTTTCGCTCGATTCCTTTCAGAAGCAAACAATCCATCCATCATCCCCTGATTCTCCCCCCTCCAAAAACAAACGCCTTTGAGGAAAGGCATTCCCCAAACTGCCCCCCTGCCAGCCAACAGGCCCGGGGGGGGGGAAAGTATTTTACACAGCGCAACTTTTAATGATACTGCTAAGATCTGGGTGCAGATTAGGAGACAAGGGATGGATCTGGGTCCCGAGGGAGTCTTGCTCCAAAGTGACAGAAGTAGCTTTTTGAACCCAGGGAGGGAGGGAGAGAGAGAGGGAGGAACACCCCCAGGCCCAGCCTGGCCCCAAATTTTGCAATATGGAGGCCAGCATAGACAGACCCACACACACACATCAGCGCCTTTTAAAGGCATAAGGTTAAAACCCCAACAATTCCCTGCAAGGGCAACCCCATCGCGCCTTTCAGCACCCTCCAGATATGGATGCCGCCCCCCCAAAAGAGGCCTTGGGGGAGCCCCCCCGAGTCCAGCTGCCACCCCAACCCGGCCGATACCCAGGCGGTCAATATCAGCTCCTTTCTAGGGTTTGGC